TCATGATGTATGCAGCTTGTGACCATATTTAGCCCCATTACAATTCATTTCCTAACTACTGTAAATTTTAATGTTCAAGTGTCCTTAAATGATATATCAATTATGAAAGCCCATGGTGCTAATCCATTTTATTGTAGCCTCTGGGCTAAGGTGGAAGAAATATAAATGGTTGTGTAAGGACTGGATGATAATCTGGAGAATGTATCAACCACATTGTGTTTTAAGTATGACTTTGCAATTCAGTAGCTGTGTGACCATATCAAGTTCATCCCTATGTTGTCAGATATAAAATAGAGGCACTAATTTATTACTAATATTGTGTAATGAATTAAGAGATCAGGCATGGTGGTATTCACTCATACTTGAGTGTGAAGCTGGAAGATCAAGAGTTCAAAGCCAGCCTAGGTCACATTGTGAATTTCAGTCTAGCTTCAGCTACAGACTGTCTCAAAGAGCAAAGGAAAACAAAACAAAAGATAAAAGTGAGTAAGTACTCAGATATATATATGGGGGAAGGTAAATGAGGCTAAGATTGTATTCCCGTCATAACTATTCATGAGTGGAATTTACCTGAAGTAATGTCAGTTTAGTAAACAAAAAATAGGCTTTCTTATAAACACCAAATAGTGGGAGATGGGAGAGTCACAGGTTTGGATTCACCGTTTGTATGTGTTTCTTTCTCCTTATTGTTTCTTTGCTTTTAGTAAAGTTATATACACATAGGTAATCTCAGCCACCTGGAATGAGTTACATACTCCAGTTCCATCTTCCCATCTTTTCCAATCCCATCAACTGTTGGTGATATAAACTAACTTGTTCACTGCTTCCATGGTTCTAAGCCCTGCTGTAAACATCTGCTAGATCTGAACTGACTTGAATCTCACTGCCCTGAGAGGTGGCCATCATTTCGTGCTGATTATCCAAAATGCAGTTAGGTAATTTCATCACTATGTGCACTTCTAATGTGTAACCACTACCGATCCAGGTCGTAGAAATCCATTACTTATGTGGCCTCCCAATGCAGTCAGGACACTTGGTCAGCATGCAGTGTCTTGAAGATGCTACCATTGTAATGCGTAATTGTAATCTATAATACTATTTTAAAGTAAATGTGTTTTTTAATTAATAGGAGTGCACTCTACTATAATGATCAAGTCCCCTTATCAAAGAGGGTAGTATATGCAATAACCTATGTACTGCAAACATCTCTTAACTTATTTATAATACCTAATAAAATACCAATGCTACCCATAAAAAAGTCAAATGATAAGATGTGTATTGTAGGAAATACTTAATAACATTTATTGTCATCCTTACCAGAGGTGTCAGCATCACCACTGCTGTGAACAGGACATTCTGCTATGACGTTGTGATAGCTACAACATCACCAGATGATTGGATGCCTTTCAGCTCCATGGCAAACCATTGGCACCATAGTCCTCTCTGTGGCCCTCACTGACTGAAGTGTTGTTGAGCAGCAAATGATTGTATTTCCTCCACTTGTACATTTGAGGAAAATGAAGCACAAGACTGGTGAAGGGTTAAGGGACTTGCCAGAGACCACCTTGTTGACAACTAGCGAATCTGGGATTCAGTTCCAAAGAAGCTGGTCACATCATCAGCACTCTCTACTGCTTCATCCCCAATCTCCTTGGATATAGGATTAGTATAGGTCATAAGGAGATTGGACCCAGTATATCCTTACCCATCAAGCACTAGTGGTCCATAGTTACATTGAGGATCCAGATTTAGCAACCTACCTCCAGCCACCAGCCATCCAGATACATGATTGAAAACAGTGAACAAGCAGAGCATTTATACTGTCTTAATTGTCAAGTCATAATATTTGAGAATCAGGTGTTTGGTGCCTATACCCAAAGAACCTTCCTTCAGATTTTTATATATAGGTATCTAAAAAGTTCTTACATACTTAGCCAAAAAGTTAAATTAAGGCTCTGAATTGGGTCCAATTATAAATGTGTTTTCCTTCCCAGATGAGTAAGTGCATAGAAATAGAATAACTGGTATAACTGGCCTTTATGACATAACTTCATTTTCTTTTATGTGATGTAAATCACTTAAATGTGAGCATTTCATCTGATACAAGTTTTCAGTCTCAGTAGATCACTTTGGAGGATCTGGTATGTTAAAGAACAACAACCAGATTGTCTTTGTTTTCAGCCAGTGGTGCTTGTTTTTTTTTTTTTTTTTTTCTCTTTCATATCCAGTGGTTGGTTTAAGGCCTAAACCCCTTAGTTACAGAAAAAAGTGGTGGAGCAGTAATCTAGCCTGTCTGGGGCTAAGGGGAGAATAATGAACATTCCCTGCAAGCTTCCTGCCTAGGTGCAGGTGCAGAAATCAGGAGGTTATGAATAATGCATGACATGCAGATTAGGTGATGGTTTCTCCTACTGGGGTTTTGAATTTGCTACCTGCCTGGATGCTATATGTGGAAAGAAGGCAGATGAAAGCAAAAGCATCCCAATTTAAAGACTAAGCTCACAAAAACTGGATACCCTTTTAAAGAAATAAAATTTAAGGGGTGGCTGAAATGCAAGTGTTACGGTCTGTTTAGTGTTGACTTGCGCAACATATTACCAGTGTACTCCATTTGAAGAAGAAAAATATTCCTTGATTCCTCTTTTTAATTCAGGAAATCATGTGATTATTTGGTTACACACACAATGAGAAGTTCTATTCTGAAGACTGCTACAGCATTTTAGAAATTGGACACTTGTGGTATTTGATCTGTGATCAATGAATTTTTTTCTAAAAGATGCAGATGCCTAGAGAATATTGTAAGTATGGATTAAATGTGCCTGTTTCCTCCACCCAGGAAATATGGGCCTGATAAGACAATACTGCAGGCAAATTGACCACACTGAGAAAAAACAAGTTCCTTATACTACTTGAGTTAAAGAGGGAAGAATCGAAGGGGATATAGGCTTAAAGGATATGAAGTGAATTAAAAACTAAGTATTCGGGAGCCCCCAAAACTTATTTCATAAACAGGACTCTGACCTCCAGTGAGGAATACAGCAAAAGTTTCCTGCATTTCCCTATATGTCAGGCGTCTTTATCTGGGGAGAAATTTGGATGCTCATAATGTCCATCTTGAGGAGGATTATATTTGAAAAAGACAAGAGGAAAACCTAGTTATGCTACCTATTGTATAATTCTCACACATTTTATTTCTCTCCTCTGTCTGTCTTTTTGTCTCTGTCTTCCCATTCACCCCCCACCCCTCACCCCACTCCTATTTTGGGTACTGGAATATTCTGGCTTTCATTTCATTTTAGCTGAGTTTGTCATTTCCGCAAGGCCCCAGTTTGGCCAGATGCCAAGACCAACAGGTGATCCTTGTGGCTGCAGAGCAGCAGGAAGTGGGTCTCATTTGAATGAGGCAGTTCACCAGAGGGGCTGTCCGACCCCCCCCCTCCATCTTCCTGCATAATTAACACCCTCCCCCCATGCAGGGCAGAAAATCTGTGCTGAGCAGCTCAGCTGGAGCAGCCATTGAGAAGCCTATGAGGAAAGGAATGTTAATAAGGGATGCTGGAAGGAATCAGCCTGCCCTGTGTAGAGTGAGGTCAGGCTCCAGGTTTGGAGCTAGCATATCTTCTATGTTTTGACATGATTTTTACTTGCCAAGCAGCGAGGAGGAGCTAATGGTTCTAACTGGACCTTAGTACTAGTTTACCAGTTTAAAAATCTCTATCATCTTTCTTACAAATGAAAGGAATATCTGATTAAGTAGACACTGTGTTGAAAATAAACTCTGCAGCTGGGCGTCGGTGGCTCACCCCTGTAATCCTAGCTAGTCAGGAGGCTGAGAGCTGAGGATCACAGTACAAAACCAGCCTGGGCAGGAAAGTCTGTGAGACTCTTATCTCCAATTAACCAACCACCAGAAAACTGGAAGTGGAGCTATCTATGGCTTAAGTGGTAGAGTGCTAGTCTTGAGCTAAAGCACAGTACCCAGGCCCAGAGTTCAAGCCCCACAACCAACACACACAAAATAAAAGAACGAAAATGAACTGTGCAACTTGTGGGCAGGGATAGGAGGGGGAAAGGGAAAGAAATAATTCATTACCTGAATTATGAAATAGTAACTCCTCTGTGCATCACCTTAATAATAACAATAAAATAAAATAGTAAAAGCAAAATCTGAAGCATACCAAGTGAAGATAATGCAAGCTAAAAGGCCACCTAGATCTCAGAAATCCTAAGAAGCAGAAAGTAGACCATTGGGGAAGCAGTAATTAGGCCACTTAAGCTTTGCCAGTTGGTCACACAGGAAGAGGTGGAGGTCTCTAATAGTGGGCCTCTGATTGGAGGACATCAACATGTCCTGAAAACTTTCAACTCTAGCCCTGTAGGCTTCCAGGCGTGGAAACTTGTAGAGCCTTGTATTCTTCACTTGTCATTGTCTGCCTAACATTTTCAATTGACTCTGACTTGGCTCTGCCTTTCTTAGACCAAACGGGGAGAACATGACTTCCCCAAAGCCTTTCTCTTATAAATATCTGCTCACCTTTCATTGCTTTCCCATTCTCACGTACTGTATTCTTGTACATCAAGCAAAGTTGCCTTGCTTTTCAGGTTTTAAATCTAGAAGCTGAGGGATCATTCATTGTCTCTTTGGATGTCCCTTTAACAGCATGAAGAGAGCTCATTGACAGGCACCACATTGCATGTAACACTAGTGCCCATTCTTGTCTCTGGCAAGAATTGCGTCTTCAGTAACCATGTGCTGTAAGTCAGTTCATTGAAACTTTTGGTTCTGCCAAGGCCCTGTGATCTCAGGAGTGGTTAAGGAGGAAACAGGCCTCTTAGAGGTTTGCAAGGCACAGGAATGTGTGTCTGCTTACTAAGAAATGATCAAGTTCTGAAGGACTTTTTTGGGGAGGACACATATTATTTATAAAATAGGAATCCTTATTCATGTACAGTCAGGACCATGTACTTTCAATAACTGTCTTATTCTGTTCTGCCTACAGGGTACATCCATCCCCAGTATCAAGAGTCCGGGGAAATCGAATGAATAACCAGAAGTTTGCTTGGTGAGTATGCAAACTACACTATGTGTATTATCTTCTCTATGGAAAGTTCTAGTAATGTTGTATTCAAACCGAATTATTCCTATTGTTCTAGAGAGAATATATTTCTACTAACTAGTCTGAGTAGTATTCCTTAAACTCTAAATAAAAAGTGTTACATTTCCCTTTCAGCTCAAACTTAGCAAAAATGATGAATGCAACATCTTTATCCTAACAAATTTGATCTGATTTTCCAAGATTATCACTTTATACCTATTAAAGACTTTATTTCCCAATATTTAGTATAACTTAGTCCACAATTCAGATTTTTCTGAGGTATCAGCTTCAACTTTTCGTGAAAATTTTCATAGTCCATTATGTTAATTTTGATGATTACCATTTTGGTTGTTATTTTCTGAAGAGAATATCCAGGTTTTGTTTTGTTTTCTAGTTTGAGGAACACTAAGGTCTTCCTTTCACTAGTTCTTAAACAAAAGTACAAATGGAACTTATCCAGAAATAACCATAAAAGTTATTTCAGCTACAAAATTCATTAAGGCAGCAAACTTAGTGTCTTACAGATGCTTCATATGAAACAAATGTTTATTTATTTATATTACTCTTTCCACAGAGTTAACTTTTTATTTTTTTTGGTGGTGGGGGTCCGGTCATGGGGCCTGAACTCTGGGCCTGGGCGCTGTCCCTCAGCTCTTCAGCTCAAGGCTAGTGCTCTACCACTTGAGCCATCACAGCACCACTTCCGGCTTTTTTTCTTTTTGCTTATGTGGTGCTGAGGAATCAAACCCAGGGCCTCAAGCATGCAAGGCAAGTGCTCTACCACTGAGCCACCTTCCCAGCCCCCAGAGTTAACTTTTTAACATATAATATTTCATTAAAAGAAGAGAAAAGAAAGATAATAACTGTGTCTTGTTAATTTAAAAAAAATAGAAATTCACAATCTCTCATTTTACTTCTTTAGATTTTGCCTAGAATGAGATTTTTATTAGAAACTATGGCTTTAAAAAAAAGTATGAGAGAATGATTACCAAAGATTGAGTTTCCAAATTAACTTTATACCTAAATCATGATTATTTTTAGACACAAAATAATGACACTTTGAACTTGAATAGTACATAATCAGCTCTCCTCCTGTTCTCCATTAAATCTAATTAACCTGCACAATAGCTTGGTGATGTTGTTAAATATTATGCTTTTCTTTTCCACGGAGGGGGAATTATAACCCAGAGGATTGGGCTATAAATTACACAATGCCTAAAAGCCAGACATCCTTCCTTCTTGGTCTCTCACAATAGCCACAGCATTGTCCTTTCAGACCTGGAAAGCTGGAAAAAAAAATAATGCTGATAGTTATTAGATGGAAAGAAGAGAAAAATCAAGTGACTCTTGGAGTGCATGGCATTTATATTCCTTCTCAGTACAGGGCATATTGTACTAAAGAAACTTTATTACATAATAGAGCATGCAAGCTGATTAAATGAGCAACACAACACAAGCCAAGCCAACCAACAGAGAACAAAATTGTCAGTCCTGAAACCTAGCGTCTGCCCCGTTGTTCTCAATGGCTTAATGTGAAACACTGAGTAAATAATAGGTTTTCTCTTCTTCTCCTTTTCTTTCTGGACTTACTGGAATAATGACAACTTATTTCTGCATGATTCATAGCATGTCATTTGGTTAGTAAGTTTAGACTACTTTTATCTCCAGAGAAGTAATCCTCAAGAAACAAACGGGTTTTTCCTATTAGCGTTGAGAAAATCTAACTTTCATTTATTTAACAACATTTATTTGCAGTTTCAGACACCATTGAAAGCACTAGATTAGAAAAATAAATAAACATGGTTTTTAGGTGCTGCCTTGTAGGAGAGACAGACAGACAGATAAGGAGAGACAGAAAAACATCTTCTCCCTGATGTGTTACACTGATACCATACATGCATGTAAACATTATGTGATAAGACTAGAATACTAAATACATGTGGATAATATTGTAAGGAAGTATATTTATAGTGTAATATTCAGAGGAAAAAATTGTTGACTATATGTAAGACCAATTTGAGAGTTACAATATAGTGAGAAAGTGGGAAAGAATTGTCTGAAAATTTGTTCCAGAGGTTAGGTTGGTAGCCCAGTGATAAAACACATGCACAATATCCTACATTTGATTAAGACCGCCAGGAAATATAAAATTTATTCTAGAGCAAAAAGTTTTTTGAGTAAAGACCTACTTACAATTAATAGGGAAAGCAATGATCTGGTATGTCTTCAATAGATTGAATTAGACAAATGGAGAGTTGGGGACATTTCTAAATCGATTATAGCTAGAGTGTGCACACATTTAATACATATACACCTTATTTGGTTGGGAGTTAGGCAACATTTCTATAATTTCTATCTTGAACCTTCCTTAGGTTAATACTTTGACTCTGGTGAAATAAATCACCTACCTGGCTGCGAAGAAGCCCCATGTATCAGCTAGCATCTGCTTCTAGTCAAGTGATAAACACTTGATAGTTCTTAATGAAATATTAGCTCTGAAAAGTTCAGAAAGTTTAAATACTCATCTAGCAATAGTGATGAAGGGAAAGAGACAGTTGATCTCTTGATAATAGAAGTTGGGGATCATTTATAGAATTAGCTGTTGAGTTTGTCACTAGCTTGACTCTGCCCTGAGTTATATCCACTGTACCTACCAGTTAGGAACAATGATTAGAGGAGGCTGGGTTAGCAAATGCTCTAATCAGTTCATCAAATAGGCAAAGATTCAAAAAGATTGAATTTCTTCTATAAACTTGTGTATAGGCAATGTATGACATTTGGGTAGGTGCTTGACAGTTACCAAGCCAATGTTTATTATTATAGAAAAGAAAGCTTGAAAAACAAACAAACTTTAGTAGTGTTTTTCTTTTGTCTTCTGTTGATCTGAGAGGTGACATCCATTGGCCCTTTTGTGTGACAACATTTCCTTTGGAGCTGAAGAAATGTGTGGACAAGAATGTCTGTTCAAGGCAAACAAAATCTGCTAAAACCAAGAGAAAATGTGTTAGCACATGAGAATACTAGGACTGAAAGAATCCAGTGACAGAAATGAGGGTGAGCCGTGATACTAACTCCCCAAAGACAGATGAAGACTTCCAGCTAGGGGCATTAGCATCCCAGTAAAGAGCTTCAAAGCCAGGCACCAGTGGCTCCATCCTGTAATTCTAGCTACTTAGAGGGCTGAGACCTAAAGATTGTTATTGAAAGCCAGCCAGAGGCAGAAAAAGTCCTTGAGACTCTTATCTCCAATTAACAACCATCAAACCAGAAGTTATCTGTAGTTCAAGTGGTAGAGCAAATAGCCTTTGAGTCAAAAGAGCTGAAGAACAGCACCTAGGCCCTGAGTTCAAGCCTCGATAAACAGCACCAAAACAAACAAGTCAGCTCATTATGTGAGCCACTGTTTAACACGGAATTAGACATGTGGAGCGGTGATTTCAAACATAAACACTGTCTCTCCAAATGTCTCCCTTGGGGTCAACATACTGTAGAAGAAGAATTAGTTGATTTGAGGATGGCTTGGGATGTAGATCTGGAAATTTTCTTGTCAGTGTCATACATTAAACCTTCCTTCATTCGTTCACCCTTGGCCTGGTGTGGGTGGGCCTTACCATGTCTTCCTTGATGCAAGAGAAGGAGAGAATTCCTTTTTTTTTCTTCTACCATTTTAGGCTCATTGCCTTGAGCCCTGTCAATTATACTGGCAAAAGACAGCAGAACTAGAGAAAAATGAAGTGACATGGATGAACACAAGAAAAGCCACTTAGACGGATAGTTGGGCGTAGGCTTATGTAGCATCTAACCAAAAGAACAATGAGATTTTTAAAGAAGTGATGAGACACAAAGAGAAGATCGTCAAGTTTCTATGGGCAGATAACTATAGATGGGGCAAACTGATGGGGGGTTGGTGAACCTCATTGTATAGGTTCTCTCTATTCTGGTGCCATGTTCCGGATTTAGTGGTGCTGATTCAGATGATTGAAAATATTCCTGTTCAGCCAGGTGGAATGTTGCACACTTGTAATCATGGGCTACTTAGGAGGTAGAGGTAGGAGGATCTTGAGTTTCAAAGCCAATATTGGGCATGACTGGGCCACACCAAATGAAAAAACAAGATAAAAAGTAAAGATCTTGTGGGTAACTTTAGTGGTGAGGCCCTGATTCAAGGTTTCAAATATGGCTAGATTCCAAGCAAGTGCTTCAGAGACAAGAAGCACATGTCTATCTGCATCTTAAACTTCTCCTCTTCTTCCTTGTCCTCTAACCCTGCTCTATTCCAAAAGGGTTAGAGGAGTTGGGTATTTATCATTCATTGTTAGCGATGATGGTGGTGATGGTAGTATGTCCCCAAGAGCCGTTACATAACAGAGATTCTGGAGGTCACTTTAAGGGCTGTTTTTATGCTGACATGGAAAATAAAGCATTTCTGCCTATTAATAGGAATTATCATCTGTAAAACAGATGTCAATTATGTGTCAGTTATGATTTATTGCTTGAAGATGTACCTGAGATTTTATGTAGCCATATACTCATGCCACAAAAAGTTGTAGTTATAAGAGTCTCTATGCAAATCAACGTTTGGGTGTGGAAAAGTCACAAATTTTTGTAAAGGGTAAGAAGTGTCTTTTTCACACTTTGATGGTTTCATGTTGGAAATGGTGCTACAGAGAAGTTAAATATTTATACACATGCAGTTGAAGCCATTATAAGGTTTCTCATGAATACAGCTAGGATGCATTTGTCTCATAAAAATAAGAACATTCTTGTTTGTTCATTTTTTCCTCATTCTTTCTTGTTTTATCCTCTAGATGAAGATTCCAGAGCCTTGCTACATAGAGTTATTAATACTGGAACCATCTGAGAAAACCAGAATAAAAGCAGGCCTTTAAAGAAAGGATAGTGTTTTTCTAAATCACCACTTTCAGATCTGTGAAGGAAATGTTGGCATCACAGGTTCAGGCCAAGTT